CGGACTTGACAAAAGTGCGCGTTGACTGCTGTACCACTGACGCACTTGGGAATCTTTTCGATTACCGCACACCAGTAAAGCATCATTTAAAATGAGTACCACCCCTTCTTAAAGAAAATAAGATCACTAGTGCCTTGAGTTAAATTCAATTAGAATTGTCACTTTGATATTATACTCGTAGACAAAATTTTCCATCCAATTCACACCGTAGTGAAATGTAATAATTTAGGAAGAGAAAATAGGCAACAACACTTTAAAAAGTTAAATTGAGGTGGTGACGTGGCAGGGTGAAATTTAAGACGCCGGCGTTGGATAATGAGAGATGGACAATACACAGATAAGTTAGCATTAAGATAGATAACAGTTAAGTATAAGCAAGAAGTGAGGCTATTAAAAAAACCATCCTCAACGCTTTATTTAATCTCCCCTTAGTTAACCACCCCACAAGTGGGGTAGTTAAGCTTCAAGCTCGTTTCCAGGGCACAACACGACCGAAAAACAGCAGCAGCAGTCAAAACCTTTTGGTATTTTTTTTTCGCTAAAAGAAACTACTACCTTTAGTGTTATTCAATTGGTGGGGTTGTTATCGTCGACTATTAGTAAATCACAACAACTCCATCCAGCTGTAATTTTCTATTTGGTATGTGACGGGCGTCACCGCACAGTCAACACTTTTGGCTCAACACCCCATGAAGGAATGTCAAGTTTTATGCGTGTTCAGATAGAGAGTGTGGGGCCACTGTTTTGACATAAAGACTTAATGCAGGAGTGAAATATGGGTGCTTATTGGCTGAAAGCCCACTACACTAGGAAAGATGAAAGACTTTACATGAAGCTTTGTAAAGATGAAATTGAAGAGTTTTTATGATTTCCAGTAGAACATAAGTAATTTTCACACGACTAGACTCGATTAAAATTAAAATTCGTTAATTGCGAAGAGAAAAAGAAGAAGGTACCATTAGAAGTTTTGAATTTCATCAAATTGTTCTCCATCCAACCAATGAACACAATTTTATATCAACAATTCTAAGTGATCCATATTACAAAACGAACTTGTTTTCTGAGAAAATTAACTTTTCCGCAATTTGCAGTTCATTCAGTAGAAAATTGGAGTGAGCAAACTCAAGAAATTTGGCAAAGGGTAATTAGCCAACACCACCAGAGACACTTTAACAAAGAGAACGTTGAGTACCTTTCCAGTAATCCTTCCATTCACTGTGATGTGAAATAGGCTGTAAGCTTATAAAAGTAGAAACAAAAATACTTTTTTTTGGAAGAAAAGATTACGAACTTAGTCCGAATAAATAAGTATTCGAATAAAAAATTTGTACAGGTTAGCGGGGGGAGGGGTGGAGAGGATGTGTGATTTTCAAGACAACATTTCCTAACAAACAAAGCCATCATGTGACCTTATGTGGTTTATTTTAACTAATGGACAAGCCATTTATAGACATACGGTCACATATATATGCCCAGCAGAAGGGAGGAAAATACTTTGTTCTCTGAGAGGAGGCTTGAAGATCAATAATTGAAAACTTGGAAACTAGAATGTACTTTGGATGTGGGGCAAATCAAAGTACTTGTAAGCGGGAGAGAGAGAAAATTAACTCAATTAATTCAAATGTCGAGATATTACCTCGTTTCCGAGTGGAGTAGCAGAAATAATGTAATAATATTAAGTACATCTTACACTTTACACCTCTGAATGTCGTCATTAGTTCTGATTTCTAAGCAAAATAAGATGGGAATCATTAGTTAAAAACCACCAAGGCCGTTAAAAGGGCAACACCTTCCAAAAAGCATATGATTTGGTGTGTACTCGAAAAGTTACCAACCAAACTCGCCGCCATTTTGATCGATTAATAGACTACTTAAGTTACTTTAATACTCCATTTCGATTACATAATATTATACACTTGAATTAAGACGATCATATTTAGATTGCCAAATATATTCTTTTGGTAAATCGAAACCACAACAAAAAAAAGAAAGGGAGACAAGAAAGAACCGTTATAAAAGAAAACGCAGCAGAAATGGTACACAAAGGACTTTAAGGACATCGTTAACGTCATGGCCAACGAACCTTTTCGAAGAAAATAGATAAGAAAGAAAGCTAACTTCATCTTATTTGCTTCGAAATTTCGGAAGAATTCCTAGCCTATAAATAGCAAGATAACAATTTCACATGAATGGTTATAGGCCTGAAACTTATCACTTAATGTGAACCTAATGATCGATAAAATGTTACTTAACGAAAATTTATTGCTTTATTTAATTCGTAAATGAATAATTTCGTGAAGATTATTCATTTCATGAAAATATAGAAATGGACCATTAAAGCGCGTTGTAAATCAGAAATACGTTATTACGCTTTAAAAGAAGGGGAAGATAGATAACTCATACTTATTATACGCAATTATTTAGAAAATCTACAAGTAATGGAAAAAACAAATTGATAATGATTGAGTTAATTAATTTCTTGTAGATACATACAATGGGATTAAACATATATCAATCAAAAGGGAATTAAGAGAATTAGTAAGGGTTAAAGGAAGCTAATTACTATTCAAGTGGATCTTATATTTTTAGACCTTGAATCGTTAACTACAAGCTTTAGATTGTTAGCACCCAGATCGAAAATATTGCGACTTTCTATTCAAAGATAAATATTTCCTGGAAATGTAATTGAAGATATAGGCATTCACATTGTAGTTAAGGTTAACTAATGAGCAAGTTGGAAGTCGTTAATGAATTTCCTGCAGACAGTTTTCTCGGCAACTTTCAATTGCCTGTCATATGACAACGAATACCTTAAAAGAAATCACTTCAAGTACTTTGTGGTAAGGCATTAAAAAATACCTCAATTTTTTATTAAACCTAGTAATGATGAAATTGTCACATACGTATTTAAAACTAGAAAATACTAGAAGGGTGGTTGAGACAAGAGTGAGCCAAAATGCTAGTGAAATATTAAGGGGCAAATAATTGTGTTCGAATTGAAATTTTCAAATACTGCATTATGCAAATCAAACTTCCACTAATCAGAATTAGCGAGTAAATTTTGCCTAATTTCAAGCCCTACGTGACTGCTTGATTAGTCAACAAGCAATTGGCCGATTCGTCGGCAGAACACCAAGTGGCTAATTGACAAGAATGGAATTTTAAAAATTTTAATCCTTTTTATCACTATATTACAAGTAATCCTTGAAAGGTTTAAATTGTAATAAATGAATCCTATATTTTGTTACCTGGACTAATGGAAAGTTAATAAGCAAATTAAAAGAATTTCAGTTGTAAAAATGAAGCAAAATTAGTCTAGTTAAATTATGCTAACTTTGATAATACATTTGAAATAAATAAATAATACAACCCACGGATTGGATATGATAAAAAGCACAGAAAGAAAAGGGTTGCCAGAAATGTATTTTGTTGAACTTAGAATTAAATAAACAGAACTTACCATAAAAATTATAAATCCAAATGGAAAGTTCCAAAGGACAAACATTTCGCTGCAACAATTTGAACGTAGAAGTTGGTAAGTTACACCAAATCAAATATTAACGGTTTTGGGCGTTCATTAAAATCGTGGATAGCAATAAACCTTTTGAAAAACTGGAAAGAAAGTGAAGGAAAGCTATAAGAATAAGGAAATCCAAGAATTTGTTAGAAAATTGGAAATGGTTAAAATTAAAATCCAAAAGAGCTCTACATTAAGTCAATCCATTAATACATTCCTTAGATCAATTTGTACAGTAATTTGAGCTTTTCCTCGTAAGAAGAGTCAAATATAGTCTTAAAGGAAGAGATCAAAAGGGAAAAAGCTCATATGGAATAAGTAAAATTGACGCTCTCAGACGTAGGTTAAAACATCATTGATGTAGAAAGCCAATGTAAAAAATAAGCGCAGATGCAAGAAAATTAAAGATTTTAGGAAAAAATTATAAATAAAAGACGCAACCAAAATTTCCAGCAAGATATAAATTAATATTACGCAAAACTAATGCAAATAATAGAAAATCATGAATAAAGAAAATTTCAAACCGGACTAGTCGCGCTAGATTACATGAGATGCGAAATTACTTACGTGTTTAAAGGCAGCAGAAAGTAAAACATTGCATAATAGAACTTTTAGGGGGAAATATATAATAATTTAAGAAAAATAAAAGGTTTAAGATATGGTGAGATCTTAATCCAAATTGCGCGGCAAAAATTTGATCAACTTGGAAAGATAAACCAATATAAATGATCAATTCATAATGATAAAATTAATAGCTACATGAAAATATAATGCGAATTGCATTTTTATTTATACGAACCGAATTATTTAACACTTTGAATGAATCGATTACACCTCTTCTTACATTTGCGGCTATTTTGAGTTGTTTCTTGAAGGAAACAGTCTATGTACGATTTTCCCTTAAAAACGCCCCCTCAATCGCCCCAATTTGATAATTTTTATGATGGGACGTTAGACGAAGCAGAATTGTGGGATAATACAGGTATCGAAGGTAAGATACTCCTTATTTAAATGAAAGCCAAATAAGGGTGATAAATCTAATAATTACTTCCAATAATAAAACGTCAATCTTATCCATTTTATTAATTTTAGTTAACAATTGTGAATCTCGTTGCCTTCTGGATGATGAACTCAATAAAGCTTTTAAGTAATCTTTTATTACTGATATTCAATTGACTAGAATGTACATGAAACGATTGTCTTACCCACCCAAAATCCATTTTCCAGACAATTTATCAATTTTATGGTCGATTGTTTCATCACTACAAATTAATGATAAAAATTCATCTGGTAAGACCTTGTCTGACTTGCTCACAGTTTCAGAGCAAAGAACTCGGATAAATAATCTTTTGATTGATATTTATGCTTCTTTTGAGTAAGTAGATATGTTTATTATACCTTTTAATCTATAAGGTCGTTGGATCCTTCTCAAACACAAGAATTTTTCCGCCACTTTCTGTACATAATCAAGGGGGTTGAATCGATGACCAAAACTTCAAACGTTCGTGTGATTATTTCGCTTATGCTTTTCTTTTTATTAGTTGAATCAACTCTTTTTACTTCATATTCGTCTGGACATCTTGACTATGCTCCTCAAATTAGTTGAATTTCATCCAAATTCTTTGATTGAGATTCTTGAACTTGATCCCTCTTCATCAAATCCTCAGGAATATATTATGGAATGGGTCTTTGATTTATTGATTAATACATCTTCCTCTCTTTGTCCTTGCTACTCTCTACTCTGGGTTTTACTTATTCGTCATGGTGAAAGAGTTTCAAAGGGATGGTATAAGTATCTACACTCTAAAATTGTCCAATTTCATTCTGGTCGTAGGAGAATTATTCGTGGTTATTTGGACAGTGTTCGTGGGAACATTGAGTTGGTGAATTCAAATGGAAATATTGATAGGACAAGATTGTATAACATGTACTGGTCGGTTCTAGTTGCTTCTGCTCCGGTGTATGAGAAAGCAATGGTCCTTTTGGTTAACCCTGAGGTAAGTTAACTTTATATTTATTTTAAAGAAATTATTTATTGCTATAGGGTTTCGGATTTGATGCCATTTGTTTTATATATTTTCTCGAAAGTGGAAAGGTTTCTTTTAGCCCTTTAACGTTAATCTACTTATGTAGCTTAAACAGATGTTTCTTGGTCAAGTCTTCTTATAGCCTTATATTATATTTACTGGGAGGAATTGTGATGCATTTTGCATAAGTTAGTTCTTCTCAACTTTGCACAAACAAAGATCTCGGGAGATCCCTTTAGGTCATGTATTATTTTAAACTACTTTCGTCTCCATTGAGTGCTGGGGGTATCCGTAACTGTAGTATCGATCCCTGTTCTGTTATAGAAGATGTACGAAGTTTCGTATTTTCTCTCTCTTCTGGCCGTCACATTTGCGTTTAAACATTAGTTATTGCCTTTAGACGTAATTATCAGCATAATTCTACCCCATTTTTCTTCCGGACATCAATAAACGTTAGATTAGATTAACTTGGCGTGCTTAATCTTTCATTTAATCCTTATTTCCCTTGTAGCAACTTTCAATTCTGAATACAGCCTCCAGATTTTCAACTGCCGTTTGGATTATTCGCAATCAATTTCTTGGGGTGAGTTATTCATTTTGCAGGCTGAATCTTTAGAGTTCCTTTGTCATTACCAAGCAAAATTTTACTTTGATCGAACCTCTTCGAATGCATTATGATCCTCTGTAATGGCTTTCAATGAAATTTTTTTCTGAAACTGACGCATTGCGTGCCACTTGCTCTGCCACACGAGAATCGGAGGGAACATACGTCTTTGCTCTCACATCCATAGTATATCCTGCGATTGGACGTTTAAAGGGATATTTTTGGTAAAATGGGGGGGGGGGGGTTGGAGTTAAATATGGTCACATCACGGAACCTCAAGAGGAGCTTATTTTGAGTGCCCGCACGCTAAGATGCTTGATTTATCGAGTTGTTAATTTTTGGCTATATCTCCAGTGGATCCTTTTTTGCAGGATAATCCCCCTTCGAAGGACTCAATTCGACATGCTCTTCAATCACTTCTTGCACTTCAAGGTGTCTGGGGTGCTGGAGTTGAGACTGTTCGATCTCTTTGGCTCTACTTCAGTCGAAAACTCGTAAATATTTCCATTTATCTTTTATCTTTTTGAATCGAATATCAATGTTTTATGAGGCTATTTGCTTGCGTATTTTGTACTTTCTTGTTTAAGTTTATGCTTTTTTCCCTTTCAGGACTCAATGAGTGACATACAATCAAAGGGTGCTTCGTCGGGATTTTCAGAGTATGCAATGATTCCCCCCTCCTTATTTACTTTCCTTTTAGAATCCACCCCTTTTACCTATTTTGTGAAGCGACAGTTCAAACCTTTTTGGTCTACCCAACTGACGTCTTGAATATGTATGACCTACGATTGCAGTTTAATTTTCTTGTTTGTTAAGAATTAGGTTAGCTTTACCCACGTTAACACGTCAGGGAGTTTCAAACTACTTTATCCTTTTGGAAAATATACTTGAAGGTGTTTCAAATTCACCGCGTAAACAAAAGGCTGCTACTGAACTGGTAAGAGTGCTTTCCGTTATCCAATCGAAATCTTGATATACTAACATACTTTCCATGTTTTGGTTGAATTATTCTGACCGTTATTTTATTGATCAAGTTGCACCGAGATTTTGTCCTGCTCCTTATCTCCATGTGAGCAGATTAGCCAAGCGTACAGGTTCAGCCTGTCTAATACTGGGGGTGGCAGAACTCGAGGTTCTTGGTGCTAGCCCTACATTCAAGATGAGCGCCGTTGAAATCCCATTCCTAAATGGGCTTGGATTTGTTGTTGTTGTTGTCATTGACAAACAAAACGCTGATTTTGGTTAATCTTAAAGTCATTTAACGGCCCACTTCATGCCTCCCTTCTTCTCAACTTATTTTAAGCATCTATTTCCATATGGATATAATTTTAATTAATGCCAACTTGCCCCGGGTTATAACTTAAATCATTGACATATAATTAAGTATTTCCCAATTTTATATTTTGATGGAGATTTGTGTGTATGTATAAAGTTGGCGAGTATTTTACTCTTCAGACAGAATACTCGTCTATATTCTTATAATTTCGAGAGAGAGGAAGAGAGTTGTGTTTTACTTACTAAGGTATGCTTTTTCTAAAAATATTTCACTCCATATAGATTCTTGTAGGTGACTTTTTTAGCAATGCCGTTTTTATTATCCCTGTCTTTTATGGTAATGCACATTCATATCCAGTTGGCAGTTACATAATTCGCTTGAGATAGTAGACAGTTACTCCCTTGAAAACACGAGTCGACGTTGTTGACTAATTTGGCTAACAATTCTTGCGCTTTTAAAGGATTTGACTTATTCCTATAATTATCAATATAGGCTGAATTTGTGATATCTCTGTTCGGTGGTGTAGAAGAGGCCCAATTGAAATGGTCTTGTGATTGGGAGGTGGGTCGTCGATGTGCAGCTCTGGAAGGTCTACAAAAACTGCTCACTTCTTTCTCAAAAGATTCACCTACCACTTTGGAGCTTGATGAGGCCTTAACGCGTCTAATGCAACTTACCTCACTTTTTAGAGAAGCCCTTCTTCGGTATGTTGTAGAAGGAATTCTTAATGGACTTTATTGTACTATTTTAATTAATTATTAGCCTAATTAACTAATATTTGTATGGGGGGGGGGGGGTGAGGATCGAATAATGCATGTTAATGTAGCTAGATGCCACAATTTCTACTTTTTGAATTCTAGTACCATGCCATAATTCATTATCATTATCTGTCAGAAAGGCATTTTTAGCATTGCAGAACTTACTCGAATCTAATAATTGGCGAAAGTTAATTTATTTTGTCATATTTTTTAGTCAGATTAGTAGGAAAAACGAAGAATCTACTGGGAGTTTTTCAAACTTCACTTCTGTTAGATGGCGAGATAACTTGGAGCGAGTGGCGCTGTCGTTTTGTAAATCTCTATTATCAAGTGTGGATAAAACGAAATTTATTTCCAGTCTTTTGGGTAAGCTTATGAAATTCATATCTTTCGGTAATTGAAAGTGGAAAAATGGTTATTATTATGAACTGAAATAACTTTATTACACATGTGATTGATTATTTGTGCATTTGTTATTGATTTCTTCTCACAGACACTTCTCTCATTGACCTTTTGTGCTCTTCTGAACGTGGAGATTGGCTTCCTTTTCTACGGGATTTTTTATCCTCCCTTCGGTAACTATGATGTTTTAAATTCTATTTTTACTTGTTTTATTTAAACCAATTTAGTTCTTTTTTGTTTCTTTCAGCTCTGTTGGAATTTCTTGTCTCAATGATCTAAATGGTTAGTTACAGATAGTTTGATCTGTTCTCTCTACTTGATATTTTTAAGTAACAAGTCTTGCCCTGTCTTACTTTTTTTGTTCTTTCTAGTACTTATTTGGTCTGTGATCTTTCCCCAATTTGTCTCTCGAGCTTGCACAAATTCTTCATGGTCAAAAGAGTCAGCTGAAGTCGCAGTTCAGTTTATCAATATTGCTTTAACATCACCTTTACCGGAGACAAAATCTCCTTGGGACATTCTCCAAAATTTAGTCTTCAAGACAGACCTTGATTTCTCGTAAGTAGGAGCTTTTGATTGTATATTAATCATCACTTATTTGTCTTGTAGGTTTAGAACGAAATTTTTCAGTCTTCTGTTCAGCGATTTCACTTTGTTGGAGTCTCTTCTTTCAAACCCCAAAATGGACATAGAACAAGCTTGGCAGTTCTATACAATTTGGTTAACCTACAAGCTTCTAGGCGAAAAAACAGATAATGGCAGTAAAGTTCTCGGTTCTCTATTTAACAGAGGCTGTGATTTGCCTGATGGGATTTTTGGTCTTTTGGACACATCCGATGGAGAAATCTCGATGATCAGACTTTGCAATCGGTTTGAAGCTGCTGAGGTGATTTTTATTATGACCTTTAGATGTAATTTGAGGGTTACATTTGTTTTTCAACGAGAAAGATGCCTTATTGTATGCCATTTCAGTTTTTTGGTGTTCACGCCCCACATTTATTTCAAGATGCACCTGATGGTGTTTAGGTGACTGTCAGACTGTCAATCTACTAATCGTTCATTCGAAACTTAAAATAATGGAGGCCGAACAGAATTGAAGTTCATATTCTTTTGTTTCTACTAATATCATCTTTGCATAAACGGTCAATATGGTTCCTGGAATGCTTTTTGTATTCTTCAACTCGAACGGGGATTGATTTATTCCCACCTATAGGACACTCTTTTTTGGAAGGATTTAAAAGCACTTCTCTCAACTTAGAAGCTGGTTTAGTTGTTGTCTAATACTAATAATAATAAATAAGCCCATTTAGTAAAGTTTTTCTAGCACGCGTCTTATTTAAAGGGGAACATTGTGGAGTCTCTATCTGTATTGGCTTAAATTAATCCATTCGTTTGGTCGTTCCTCTCACCGAGCGCAGGCCGATTGGGACTTGAGTCAGCTATTTCTGACATGAAACACGTGCACTATGACCACTGTGCTGCTTAATAGAAGATTGTCCACCATGTCACAAGCAAAACCTTTCATTCGTAAACTTTCACACGAATTCATCCTTTATGACTCGGTAATTATTCGTCTGGTTGGGCAGGTGGTCTACAAGTTCACTCACTTCACCTTGCTAAATGAAATATGCCTATTAACCCTTTAACGCCCAAAGGGCTGTGTGGTCCTCTTTAAAAATAAGCTTCATTGGTACGAGACCCGTAACAGAAGGTGCTATTCCCACTTGAAACGCGTTCAATACGTCTATAGCCTTCACCTGATGCCACCAAAACTCATCACGTCAGCGGTATAAGTTTGCTGTAAGTGCGGTTAGATACATTTTTTAAATAATATTTCGCGTGTTAAAGGGTTTAAATGTGGGGTGGGGGGGGGGGGGGGGGGGGGNGGGGGGGGAGGAATCCGAGTAACCCACCAATAAGACTGCTCAAGATAATCAATTTAAAAGTTTTCCTAAATGGGCTTTGGAGTTATATCGTGTTTGTTGTGTTGAAATTTTTACTCATCAATATTTTTTTATTAATATTGATGTATTATACATTAGTATTATCATTAATATTTATATCAAATAGCAGGCGACTTGATGGTTATCATTAGCTCTTTAGTTGACTTCAGGCTTCACAGAGGGGAAGGAACATCAAAGTGATAAAAGCCGGTTTATAGACTTTTTCCGTGTGAGTATACGTTGCCCAGGGTGTACCACTTGGAGGTAAGTCTATCGCACACCCCATTATCATTAATATTATTTCAAAATAGTTTAAGTTGTTCACATATTGGTACTTTTTATGAAAGCTCTCTTCGTATGTGTTTTCTAGTGGGAAGTAGGCACGAATGCAGTTATTTTCCCTCATATTAATTTCTTTGTTTTTCGGTTGTTCAAGTCCACTGAAGTCAAATATCTTAAATCTTTTGATATGTGGTGCTATCTTCGTGGCGCATCTAATAACAAATTAGCTTCCTTAATACTCTTCTTTTTTATCACTAATATCGAATATAGTTTAATGCTCATTACATTCGATAGGTGCTGTGTTCCTACTCAGTTCAGAAAAACATGCGCCGTTTTTTCACAATTTTCTGCAATTTATTTCTAACACACGCCATTACAAAAGTTTTCAATGGGAGGCACTCAGAATTGGGGATGAAATTCTGTTAGATATCGCTTTAAACGCAGTTGTGTTTTCAAATATGCTGCACTTAAAGTCGCTGTCATCCTGATCGACGACACTTTCGATAATGAACAAAATATTTCCTTCTTTTCTGCGAATTCAAGTTTTAATCAAGAGGTCTCCTTGATTTCACTTCTTTGAACAAGATGAGTGCATATTGGATACTCTTTCCTAGATTAACTTATTTAGCTGTTTTATATTTTAAAATAGTTAATCATTCGTGATTGAGGTGGTTATGGGATGGCTAAAGAACGGTGGCAAATTGTAATCGAATGCTTATTTCACTTTTCTTAGAACACCTTAGCTTTCGCACAACTAAGCCGATTGTGCAATAGGCTGTAAGGGATTGGGGACATAAACCCACTCCAGAATCCCCTAAGTAAATTCTAAAATGAGGATTTTGGAACATTCATATTTTATATAGGTAGGAATACCTGTTAGCTGCAGAACCAAGAAAAATGTGGTCCTGGTTCGATGCCCTTCTATATCATCCCCAAAGGCAATTTTGTTCAGTTCTCAAGACTAGAAATCATGAAAGTTTTGTACCTTGCCATAATCACTCTCTCACCCTCCCTTCTCCTTTAACTCGGCTGATTTTTGTTTCGTTTTTTGTTACTACTGAAGTGAAAAGGTTGCCATTTTAGCCTACTGAAAGCATCAGAAAGGTAGTTAAAACCTAAAATATAAGTAAAGGTGGAATATTAGTATTATTTGCGACTTTGAATCGAAATACTTCAAATCATTTGCTTTCCTATTCCATCACTTCTTTTGCTCTATTTCTCCTTTAAATACTTTAATACAACTTGGTCTAGTGTTTCAAAAGTCAGGTTTAACCAAAGCAGTAGTTCATGGGCATGGTATTCAGAGCTTATTGAGCAGTTCGGTTAATTTGGGTGTTTGGTTGCAGAGCTTGTTTGTTTTAATTATCGGTCATTTCAGGATCGCGACGGATAAATGGGTAAAGATGAAATGAGAATCCTCAAGATAAGACGCCTTGACTACACATTATATCTTAGTATATTGTTTCAATTATAACTGATTACATCGATAAAGTAGGCTCACTGGCCATATTCTCGTCAACATTTCTCCAAGGTAATTTATCATGTGACCGAACACCTAGGACCCAGATATCACTGTGGATAAAACTGCTTATGATCGTGCTCATATTAGGCCTTCTAAATAAATGTATTGAAGTGTTAATCGGTCCATAAGTACTATTTGTTTTGAGAATGAGTTTGAACGGTGATACAGGGAAAGAATAATGAGCTTTATAACACTTATCTGGGAATTACATGAGTATTCTAAATGCAGAATTCGCAAATCACGTGATGTTACTCCACTGTTACTTTTGTTAATTCCCTTCCAGATTTCAGTTGCTTTAATAATATGAAAATTTAGAATTTTTCTGCTTTGCTGTGGCCTATAGTATAAAAAGTCTTACCTTTGATTATCAGAAAGCAGTTAGCGAAACACTGCATGCTATATTATCCATTTCCTATTTGCACATATTTTAATTCGGTGTGAGCCAAGATTGTTCAATATTCTTGTAGACTTTTCAAGATCGTATGACTTTCAAGTCTGCCATCCTTCGTCGATTAGCTCCTCTTGGCAAACTCTTGAACTCAATTATGGAAAGGTTTATCACACCGCAATTAACTGCGCAATCGTATTCAGATATCGAAATTACGAAAGCTTATAAAGCTACCTCTTCGCTCTTTCAAGTCACTTCTGCTCTTCTCTATTCACCTGATGGCGTCTTCAATGAACTCTTCGCCTCTTTTCTGATGCCACCTTGGAGACACCTTGAAAAGGAAGCACCAAACAAGAAGATAATAATTCAAAACTGCGTTGCTGAAAGTTTACCCAGTGTAAGAAATTTAAAATTCTCTTCGCGTACGTAAATACTTTCAACCAATCAGAACTAGTCATTGGAATCGCATTGACAATTAAATGAGTTTGATGATTTTCTTGTTGCATCAATGTAGTTTATTTCTTGACTTGGTCAATTAAATATGATTTATACTGTTAAACTTATTATATCATTGGTTATAAAGAAGACCAGTGATATTAATTTAATCTAATTAATGTGTACTTATTTTAACGTGTTTGCTGCACTTGAACAAATAGTCTTCCTCTATGGTGCAATTTGGCCAGAGGATACACGTTTTTCAGCATATTATCTTTAAATTAATCGAGTTGCACTTAGGATCCTATTTTCTTTGAACCTTTTGGTAAAAATTAGCTTTCAACACTAGATGATGAAAATAAAGATATTGGTTTTCATAAACGTGGGTTTCCTTTTCATTTGCATCTCTTTAATCTTTAATCTCACAATCCAGATCAAATTAGTTTGATTATAAGATAAGAAGTGCATACTAATTGGTCAAGTCTAACCTTCCGCTTGCAAATTTATGGTGCCGTAAAATGGTCTGTAAAATATATCAAAATATTTGAATTCATATGATTGGTGTGACAGGATAGTACGAGTTGATACGGTTTTTACCCAAGTTGAGTTTGCTACACTTCATACTGGGTTTAAGGTATTGATACTTTCATTTCTAGTTTCTTCGTGGAATCGCTCAGCTGAACTTCCTTACAGATCCTTTCATTATTCGAATGCTGCGAGAGCTTCTACGAGCTGCGTTCTTCGCTTTTCCCGAAGGAATGGATTTTGTTGTGGTAGGTTGAAGTAGTTAAATTTATCTTATTCCACTTAAAATGGAGTTTCGAATTGCCACTGAAGAGGTTGCTTAAGGTTATCATGAAAAGTGAGGAAACTTAGCATTACTAATTTGAAAGAAGTCTTTTTTCTGGGAAGTTACTGTTTTTTGGCCAACTTATTGATCGTCTCTTAGGTTTATATTCGATTCCGTTTAGAAGGAATTTAATTAGGCATCGGGGTTCATGAAAAGAAATGCACAATTGTAATAATACTGTTTTTGAATAAAAGTATATTTGAAGAATCGATAAAACCTTATTCTTTCGTTTATTGATTTAGAAGGTTTTGGGTTTTCTGTAATACAATACTAGGGTATCAAAGTGAAAAAAATCGATAGGGTGGAACGGAAGAGTGGTTTAAAGACGTAAAAGAGACAGACACAAAGGTAGAGAAAAAGATAAAATGAGTACTGTGGAAGTGGTCGAAAATGACATACAGTTTGGTCATGGTAGTTTGAAGTCAGAAGTTCCTCCTCCCCTCTATGAAGCCCGTAGTCAACTAAAGGGCCAATGATACCTATCAAAACGCCTGCCATTTGATATAAATAAATAAATACCAGGGTATCTATTTAGTAATTTATGTCTATTTCTTATTTTATTCTTAATCCCATGTTTTTTTTAATTTTCCAAACCATCATCAACTATTGGGTTGTATTTATTGCATGTTAGGTGGTTGTAAGATGTCGCTCGACCACATTTGAATCAAATCGAAAAAGAAACCAGAAGTGTTGTCATTGAAAAACTGTCTTCAATACATACTACGTAATTTAATAAGTGGTTGTAAAGCTAAAACAGAGAGAAACTATTACAGGGTTAATGGTGGGGGTGGGGTGGGGAGGGGGGGATATTGGGTTTCGTTGCTTATTCGCCTGTCAACTCGGGAGAGTATTTGCTTTTGTTATTTTTTTATTAGGTTCTTTAAAAAGACTCACATTAAGTAGGCTGCCAACGTTGAGGATGACATTCTGATATGTAGCTTTCCAGCTTGTCTAGCCTTTTATAAGGCTTAGAGTAACGGAAAATTGAGCACTGGAAGGGCTTGTAGTGTTGCACCAGAGAAACAGAAATACCAGCTCTACTACAGGGCACTGCTAATCTTTCCGCGAAAAATTGCATACGATTGATTACTTAACCATTTTCGCCTGAATTCCCTTAAGGTGGTTGCCAAAGGATAGTCTCATCTCTAAACGGCGACTCACTTGGGGCATTTGATCGATTCGCCTTAGAAGTAATCGTAGGCAATCCTTCTTTATAAGTTTTGTTAGACTGTGATGCCTTCAGGGTAGTTAAACTGGAACGGTTTTTCATAGCAGTCCAAAATCAAATCATAGCCGAGGGATTTCTCAGTAAACTTCACTGAACTAGCTCTTCGCATGTCATGCCTCTCTGAAAACGTGATACTAAGATCTGCCTTCCTTCAGCATCGAAGCAAGCCCTAAGTATCTTTTTATTGGAGGACACTCTTAGTAATGTTGTGGAAAAGTCATATCAATGGACTAGCTTTACAAAGATCTCGATTATTTTTTTGCCTTTACTTTTACTGATTATTGTGGACATTTTAAAAAAGGCTCGAGGCCTTACAAGTTGCCGTCTCATCTGCATTAATTTGCCACGCAATGTGTGTAAAGGAGCTTGCTCTGTTTCTTAAAAGTTGCCATCCACACAATGTTATACGAAAATAAATCATCATGTAGGAACCAATTTCTCTTATCTCCTCCCGAAACTTTAGATTTGCACTAATTGCACTCGCTTATCTGATTGTTATAAAGGTTATTGGCAACTTTATTTATCTATATCAAATGGCAAGCGTTTTGATGGTTATCATTAGCCCTTTAGTTGACTTCAGGCCTCACAGAGGGGAAGAAACATCGAAGTGAGAAAAATTCGAGAGGGGGGCGCAGAAGAGTGATTCCAAGACGAAGGTAGGAAAGGCGGAAAAAGGTGATGTGAGGACTGTGAAAGTAGTCGAATACGACATACAGTGAATTGATGGTAATTTGAAGTCAGAAGTCAACTGCCGATCAATAGACTTTTTACCGTACGAGTATACGTTGCCCAGGGTGCAACTTAAACAAGTGATTTATGGCACACTTTCGTCAGTCTGTATTATTATTATTATTACAATTGTTGTTATTTTAGTCTGCGTTGCTTATCAGCGAACCTGCCTCATATAGGGCTCATTTACTGAAAGTCCTTGCCCTAGAATTCATTAGCTTCACGGGGAACTCGCACATGGATTTGAGCAAGAAGGCTAAAATTGTGAGTTTGGTCCATTCTTTGTTGGCTTTATGTGTCGCCATTTGTTTACTGATAATCAATCTTCTTTTAGTGGTTAAATTTTTGCCAGAAAATGGACGAAGGAACTATGACCATGGTTCAAAGGTTGAGGTGTGTTTGAATTATTGCAATCTCATTAAAATTTTATTGCTGCTCTTTTTTCGTCAACAAAAACCAAATCAATAATACATCATATTCAATCGATTAGATCAAATGAAGATCGATTATTGTTAGTGTTAAAGTACTATTGGAACATTTATTTATTTATATCAAATGGCAGGCGTTTGATAGTTATCATTAGCTCTGGAGCTGACTTCGGGGCTTCATGAAGAGGAGAAGGGACATCAAAGTGACAAAAAGTCGAGATGGGAGACAGATTAATGATTCACAGAGGTAAAAGAGACAGACAGACAGACACAAAGGCATAAAAAAGGTAAGATGAGTACTGTGTGAGGGGTCGATTATGAAAAATAGTCGGGCCATAGAAATTTGAAGTCAGAAGTCAACTGCCGATCAATAGACTTTTTTGCCGTATGAGTATACGTTGCCCAGGGTGCCCCACGTGGAGGTAAGTCTATTGCACACCCCACTATTGGAACATGAAGTTGTGGATATTTCAATTATAAATTTTTCAAAGGACGTGGAAAGTAAAATATTGATTTCTCGTATGAAAAGTAGATACTCTAGCATATCGATTTATAATTTACCTTGTCTAATTATTGTTTTTTCCAGGGCTATTTTATAACGGAAGTGTTGAATGCCAATTTCTCCATTGAGTGTTAGCTTGTCGTTCTCACAGACCTTGTTGACCAGGTCTACTTAAGTTGATACCGAAAGAAGTCAACCTTATAAGTTACACCACAGCACCTGGCCATGCAAAGCAATGCATGTGTTAATGCATTTCTGGTTTTATGAACGAACGGACAATTAATAGACGAGGAGAATAGATATTACTGGATGGGAAAAGTCATTAGCTATATTGTCTTTTTGTGTTTTCTATATGATTTTGTGTAAGATTTTATTTACTAAAAGATCCCATGTTTAGTCTATGAATGCAGCTTAAATAACGATCGGAAAATATTCCTCCTAACCACTTTTTTATGCCCTTTGCAGAGATGCTCCTTTCCTTCTCTGGCCTCTTGCTGTTCTTCTCTCCGATTCAAGCAACTCCAAGTCGTTCGCATCTTTTGAGAATAGCTGCAACTCTGCATTTTCAGCTTTTACTTCAAGGTGGAAGAGTATGGAGTCCTCGAGTGAAAATAATTTTCACAACAGTGATTTACAATCTCTAAGGTCCGTTTTCTATTCTGCTGTTGCACGCATCCGTTTTACCCTGTTTGTTTCAGTTATTGTTTTGAACTGACCTGGGCCTTAAATTTAATTTAATTTATTTTTAATTCACTGACAAACAGAATCAGTTGGTTCAAATAGGCTATGTGCGTATTTGTCTTCCTGTCGAGGTTTTTATAGAGCGTGTGTGTGTATAAGGTTTGGTGGGAACTAGCCGAATTCAAATTGCTTGCTTGTGCAACTTGGAACAGTTGTGAAAAGACGTACTTTGGTACAGATCGTCTCAGTGGTCTATGGATATGGGAAGCCAGAAAGGCTAATAGTCAATGTAGTATAATATTAATCCCTTTGGTTTGGGCTATATTGTTTGGGCATATCTCTTTTGAATCCATCACGGGTCCTGTTAATCTCTTATCTTATTCTTCTTCTTCACAGAGCTGAAATTTCAGATGAGCTACAAGTCATCTACCGGTTGAATACCAATCCTTCTGTTACCACATTCCTCAAGCAAGCATTCAAAAAGTCCGGCTTTTGTTGAATAAAGAAATTATTTTTGTATCAACGATCGTCTTGTTTTATATCTTTCTGGGATTCTTTTACTGATCAGTTAATGGAGAGAAATGAAAACATGGGTTTTGGTGTTTGTTGGAAAAGTTTGACTTTATCGATGCTTTTTCAGATTGTTCGCGTTCGTTGAATGGGTCTTCCACCTAAAGCGAAGAGAAAACTTATCGTTATAAGTTTCATACAAAGAGTTTCAAGTAGTTTAGTCCATTGTTTTTTTCTAACTTTGTGTCTGTCTCATTTTAATCCTTGAAACACTCTTCTGTTCCGCCTCCCTCTCGACTTTTTTCACTTTGATGTTCCTTCCCTCTGTGAAGCTTGAAGTCAACTATAGGGCTAATGATAAATATCAAAACGCCTGCCATTTGCTATAAATAAAACACCTTGATGGGTTCATCCTTGGACTCTGTCGGTCCATCCGCTATTGTCTTGTCATCTCGCTTGACGATCATCCTTGTACACCCAACTTTTTGTTGTGGTTGGTGTTTGATAATGCAAGGAATAAATACCTTTCTATCCAAGGCCCTACTACTTTAGGGTATTGAGGCCGTTTCAGGATGGTTGATATCTCTTTCCCATCTTACTCCATACGTCCATTGGTATCAGACTGGCGTCTAATTCCACGTACTTAGTCGTTTACATCACCAAACAAGTTATAGGTTTCAGGGGGCTGTCCGGTTATTAGCACACCAAAAGCATTAGGCTTATGCATTCACTTTAGACATTTTCATTCAACTCTTTCAGTTCTCTTTTATTCTCCAATGTTCTACTAAGTTACGGGGGATAGGTGATATCATAATGACTTTACATTTCTCAAACCCTGGTCTTCTGGTATTCGGCAGATTTGCTTCTACACTAACAGCACAATAAAGTGTGGACTTACGATCAGTGGACATATGATTAGGTCCAGTTTAGTTCTGAGTCAGTAAGCGTTGCTTTTTGTTTATAGGCAAGACGCCGATCCCATCATCACTGATAACAGTAAATGATATTGAGAAATCTCAATCACCCTAAGAAATGTGTTTTATGACCCTCATCTTGGTACAAAGTGCCATCATTATTCCTACCTTCTTCTTGTTCTTTATGTCTCTAGCTCACAAAGCCGACTTAAAATGCTAAAGCATAGTTAAAATTTTTTTAATGGAACCAAAATATGGGTAATTGTGTTTACAAAAGGTAGAATAATTGACAATCGTAGTTGTTTTGACAATTTTTAGCACTAATTACCGTCCTTCTGTGATAACTCTTAAAGTCTTCCTTACAAAAAAGTTATTTGCTAATTGCGATTATTTTGAATACGTGTCGAGTCATTAACTAACGCAATACTTTCTAAAGGTCAATCAAGTATTGAGAATACCTCCAATAGAGGTACTTTCCCAGGAATGAAGAATGTGAAATACGAGCTCAATGAGAACACAGCCCTCGAGAAGACTTGGAAACTTTAATAATTCTTCCTTTCTCCACACCCACTTCCCAGCGTTTTGGATGAGCACTTCAATTGCAGTGATGCTGGCAGTTGGTTGTGGAAGGGATCTTTGTGGATTATGGATCTTATATCCACATTTAAGAGGGGTGTGCTATAGACTTAGCTCCACATGGTGCACCCTGGGCAAAGTATACTCATACGGCAAAAAAGTCTATAAACCGGTAGTTGACTTCAAACAACCATGACCCGACTGTGTGTCATATTCGACCACTTCCACAGTACTCGCCTTACCATTTTCTCTACCATTACGTCTGCCTCTTTTACATCTGTGAATCACTCTCCTGTTCCTCCTCTCGGCTTTTTGTGATTTTGATGTTCCTTCCCTCTGTGAAGCCAGAAGTCATAAAGCTAAATCCATTTAGAGAGTTTATTTAAAGACTTTAATTTCGAATACCTTCAATAAAACCGAAATATCAATCTGTTGTAATCGTGAATACTCAAAGATCTGCTTTTCTCAGTCAACGATATCTCATATATCTTATCCAATCGAATTCGCAAATGCCGTGTACGTCTTCTGAATTCGTTTTTTTATATGCTACTCTGCTATAACATTTCAAACGTAAGAACACAATATAGGTAAGACTGGTAATACGCCTGACCTTCTTTTGTAAATCATTTTCCGGAATCGATGTTGTTGTAGAGTTACAACATGGAGCCCCATCGGTGAGAAACCCCATTTACGCAAGCCCTTTTAGTGATCAGACTCAAACAGTGGATGGTTGGCCGATCCGACTGTTGGAAGTGCACCGAATGGAATCGAACTCGTGATCTCCGTCCTTGCAAAGGTGAGTGGTAATCTCTTTGTTGCATGGCTAGTGCTTACTTCCAAGCCCTTTAGAGAAAATATTTTCCAACGCTTATCATGAGGAGAGAGGCTGCTTCATAGGGTCGTCTGTTGAAACATTTGAATTATGTACCTCACATTATTTATTTACTAACATTTTTCACTGCAATCTGATGTTTGTGCGTCGCACATACTAGTTCGATCATTGTAACAAAGTGAAATTTATGGAACGTTATAAGTGAGATCATTAATCCCCATTTCCTTCATGCCATCATATATTAAGGGCCAAGCAAGTTTTTTTAAACAATTAATGACCTATCAAGCGGGAATTAATTAATTAAAGTCAATCAATTGGCGTTTGTCATTAAATAAAGTGCGCTTTAAATGAGAGATTACCTTTCCCTTAGAGCGTCGAATTCGGAGAATAGTTGTCCTTTTACGACTTCAATTTGGGCCTAAAAGAGCTTTCAGTGAGGGTTTGTGAATTGAAAGCCGACCTTGCAGAGATCCAGTAGTTTCGGTATTCCGAACAATAACACTGTAACTAAAAGGAAAACGGTTACTTCTGTTAAAAGAGTGTTTAATGCTCGCGTATTCATATTAGCAAAAACCAGGTTTCGTCCGATCGTATACTCTGCTCGTGATTAAGCAACACCAACACCACTGAGCTTAGGGCCATTTGAAAGGTGTTGTTTGGAAGCCAAATCGAATAACTCCTTTATGCTGGAGCAAAGTTCACAGGCTTCAATTCTTATGGTTCGAATACTCAGTTATTGGTCTCTCATGCAATTTCCCTCCCTCCCTCCCCCCCCCCNTGCAATTTCCCCCCCCCCCCCCCCCCCCCCCTCCCACTGCTATGTTATTGGTCAGCCAGGGAGCTAATCATCTTAAAATTGTCCCAATTTTTACAAAGGAGTATTCGCTCTTAATAATGGAGTTTGCCATTTGAATAAGTGTTTCTTGCTCTACTTTCCAATTGAGTATTGGGTTGACACATAACGACACACTGTACGATGTCATCTTTGTTTGTGTCAGCGCGAAACAGCTTTATGAAAGTAATTTAATTGTATCTATTTCAGAATCCCATAAATCTTTAATGATGAGGCGTTTAAACTTCTACCCAGGATAGGGATTTATTTTATAAAATTTTAGGAATGGTCAAGTTTGGTCTCCTAATAAATATTAATTTAATTATAAACATTGTGCAGTTGTCATAAAATTAGGGTTATTTAAGATAGCTATTCTTCATTTAGTGGGGCAACATTTTTCCGTCCAACAATTAATAAACAGTATTTTGATTAGATTGATTGGTAAAAAAGGCTACTTGAAGTGAATTGTTTATGAAAGAATTCTACTGCTAAATTTTTTACCGAATTTCCTTTAATTAACGAGGAAGGTGCAGCAGCCAAAGGTCCATGTCCGATCAAATAATTAACTTCATATGAGAAATATCGACTTTCTCGTCACGGGGTATACTCTATCACCCACAAAACGTAACTAACTGGAGATCAATTAAGGTGGGACCTAATCAAGAGGTATTTTCACCGAATCTCCTGGAGATTTTTGTACGCTCGTCTCAGTAATTTGGAGAAACCATAACATAGAGATTTTATCTACTATGGCACTTTGCTTGAACAAATAATAGACTTGGTAAAATAGTAAAAATTTCATACAATAGGGAATTTCAGTTAAAATTCCCTTAGTTGTCGCTGGAAGAAAGTTAAGATGACCTTCCTTCCAGATCAATCACCATATCTGTCAGCTCTGAATAAACAGAATCAGTAGGAAACCCAACGAAATAGGACTTTGAAATACAACGAAGTGTGCCTATCAGCTCACATGTTGGGAACATGAATAAGCTTCATTCCCCGATATCTAGACTTCTTTAATGTGCTTTGACCTGGCTTCCGTGTTCTTGATATAGAATAGTACTTTAATCTGACCGCGTCATTAGCTCTCCTCTACACTCCCAAAAGATTGAAACTTATTGCGTACACAAATTATTCTCTGGTTAGGATACATTGTATTTGGTTCTTCTGAAATTCTTGTGTCTAGTTTTTAATATAGCACGCAGTACTCCTTATGTGACCGAGTGCGATTTTTTCCTGTTTAGAAGATTGCACTCATTTGATGCTTTAGAAACCGTGTTGCTTCACAATCGGTAATAATGATCAATTTGAGAAAATTTCGATGTGAAGTACGCAAATATTTGATCTTCACCAGCAGTAGCATTGAACTATGCTTTTGTAGATCTAAAATTACGTAAAAGACACACCCTCAAAAATGCATGTAATGAATGCATTTTCCTTCCATGGAAGCATTCACTGGGGGAGGAAGGCGGATGTACTGTGACCATCTTTGACAAGAATAGCTCGGGCACGTGACGACGGCTGTTTAGCCTCTAATTAAAGCTTGTCAAAAAACTTCACGCAATCAAAATAAGCAACAAGTCATAATGCCACGAGAAGAATACGCGAAAATTTCCTAGGTTTAAAAATAGATTCGCTGATTAGTAGTAACATAAGGGTTAGCAACGAAGTAAAGATGAAACATGTTTTAAACATAGCTTATCAAAAAAATATTTTAAAGTTATTTACCAACTGACAAAGTTTATCATTTCATGGACAACGTTGAAAATGGTTTATCTCATTGGCTACCACAATTGCTTAAATTATCGGACTTCAAGTAAGTCAGTAGTTATCAATTAAATTTTCGTATAAATCGTGATAAAACAAATTTTGAAGCTCATAGCTGAGTGCTTCTGCTCTCATAGAGAGTACATTCTTCTCTAAATCAACAACACTAATATCTCTTAAAGGAAAAAATAAGTTGGCGAGTAGATTTAGTGAATCACGTTTAAGGAATCAGCGATGGAAATTGAGAAAGCTGGCTAAAATACACTCCTTTCACCAACAATCGCCATATTGACACTTTTAAAGGTTCTAATAAGTAGAAGAGGCCGCAGTATCAGGTTAGAATCGAGCAGAAGCCCGTGGCTGATAAGTAGTTGTTAGTTCTGCACTTATAAGATTATCAATACTTCGGAAAAGTGAATATTCAAGTACCATATCAGATGTCGCAAACCTAAAATTGTTTGGCGCATACTCGAATCATCCAACATCGACTAACAGAGACAGAAAATGCTAGCATCTGATCAGATTATCCTCCCCCACACACACTCAGCCCTAGCGCTGTGAATAATTTTCCTAATATGGACAATTTGCCCCCGATAAGAAAATCCTGCTTTATAATTTTCCATTGTACATCATTCACAAAGCACTACCGAAAGTTTCCTATTAATGTCGGGATTTCGTATATGCGCGCCATTGTCGTGGTTTGGGGAGCGTGATTACTGCACACATAAGAATCAATGATAGCATAAACTGCAAATATGACATTAAGTTAAAGCAGGAAGTACAACCGATTTAAGCTCTAAGTATGGTTGGCTGGAGAGAGTCACAAAAACCGAGGGCGCTATATTACGAGTTAAAACAGCAGTTGTGGTAGAGAACCAAGGTCATATATAAGGAGGAGCACTTAAAGTTGAGTGCCGATCAAAGTCAATTGTTTATCAGCGGTTAAAATATGCGAGAGTAGGTGGGGACAGATGTAGTGGTTCCGGATAGCGCTGAATGGGAAAATGGAATCCTAATACTGCTAACTCATCGATCACTTAATTGAATTATCCACTAATTGAAATTACCCACTTAAGGGTGCCCGCTGGTTCTCAACACGGAACTTGAGGTTATCACAGGATTAAGTCCTCCAAGAACCCCTGTGGGCTTATCAACAGTCTTGAAGTTACAGCAGGGTCAAACAATTTTCAATAGCCATTGTGAAGTCGAGATACTTAGATCCCAGAGATTAATAGTGACCTAGATAAAGACGTTACTAAACATTCGTAGGAGTCGAAGTCGTAGATTTCACCTTATATCAACGAAGTTCTTTGAAATTATTAAGAAGGAAGGATCAAACCCACCAGTGCACGATGTATTCCCTTTCCATAATTCTGGTTTGTGAAATGTAGAGTAAAAATATGAATAACTATGGGTATTCATGCATGAAATATTTTTCACCTACCATTAACACTAATTCCTAAATAGATGCAGAAGAAAATGGACATCAATCACGACTTGAGTTCATCAAAATGGGACCCTTTTCAAGAAATAAATGGCCATCTGATTGTGACCAATGGAATTCAATTACCACAAACTTCAAAATCATTGATTACATATTCTTAATACTGTATTAATAAATACAAAGTAATTGCAGGTTTTACTTATGGGAAGCAGCTGCAATCGGCTGACAGAATCTTTGTCAAATGGGGGGGGGGAAACAGAAATCCTTGCTCCAATAGATTTTCTAGTTGTGGGCTGTACAATGTTTAGCCAATGGATAATCAAAATTTAACTATCAGTTACCTGAATTTTTGAACAAATTCTTGTATGCGCAAAGACCAGTGCTTATTGATTGGATTCTTGAATAGGAAGGGCAGGGGTCAGTCCAACTCGTTTCACTTTCTCCTTCCTAATGGGCCTCCACAATAATTTTAAACCTAAACATTACAAGATGTGCCGTTTCTTTTAATTTCGGCTTCTAGCAATGTGGCAATAAAAAGGCATTTAGGGAAATTTATTCGCCTACGCAAACCAACAACCAGTAGGCATTTTCCCAATAGTTAAGAGAAAAAGTATTACAAAATTGGGATATATTTTTTTTAAATATTTATTGAGGGCATAAAGGATAAAGAGGCATACCTCATAATCTCAAGAAAGAAAGTACCATAGTACCAATTACACCCAATAAATGGTAAATTTTTCATTTAGCGTACTAAATTTATCCAGCCTAGTTTAAAAAGACATCATACAAAGAACTGCTTTGAAAAAGAATACGGCCTATGGTAATGCCAAGCCTTAACATTTAAGAGACCTTCCTAGTAAAGCCATTTTTCCCCAAATTGTGGCAATTAAAGACCCACTTACCACTTTAGTACATTTTTGCACTAGAAATGAATACATGAGCAAGTGAAATGGGGTTAACAGAGCTTACTCAAAATGCAAAATGTGGGGAAATTGAAATGAGGTCCAATGTAGGCCAATCCATAGAGTAGGAAGCCAAACTGCCGAAAACATGAACTCAGATAAAATCAGTCCAAATGCACCCTATCGGGACAATTAATAATGAACTTACACAAAGCGAGTTGAAGACATTTCGAATAAGGAAGAGATCGATCGTGAATTGAATGAAATTATTTACTCGAGTTGTAATTATTTGAGCAAGTTTTGAAGAGGTCACTGGGCTAAGACGGAAATCCCATGCCTGAATGCAGCTAAAAGTGAGAAAGAAAAGGGTGTTTTTATTTAGATGAACACTAAAACGAGGTTCTTTAAGAAGTCAGTATATTAGGGGAATCAATGGGTAATTACCAATGCCCATGAGAAAACAACATAATTTCCCCCAGCAGATTCAGCTCTTTTCTATTGGTCTTACAATTCTCTAATCCACTTTTTTGAATACTCTTGTAATATCTAAATTAAAGAACTCTTCCCATCTTAGCCAATAATAGGTTGGGGCGAGATCTGACGAACATGGAGAGTGTGGTGGAACCCTAATTAAATTCCTCAATTTGTTGGGAGGTTTTCCTTTACTTCGTGGGGCAGGTCTCGTTAAGCTAACGAACGCCAATAGAATTTTGAAAGGAAGGAAATACTTATCGTGGTTCATGGAGTTATTTTAATTTCCCTATTAGTTAAAACTTTTCTGTCGTTATTCTTGGACTTCCGTTTTTTAAGAAAAGTGCTATCACTTCGAAAAAGGCAGTTTATGCTATACCTAATTGCATGAGTTCTATTGGGTTGGCAACTAAGTCATTGCCGTTTTTGTTGACAGATTCACTCTATACTTTCTTTTGCTTTGTTAACGTGGCCAGAGCATCTAACCTATATTTTTTTCTTACTGTATGGGCTTCTAGGTTAATTAGTACAAAATTTTTTTGTTTAGTTCTTTGGTTTTGTTTTTATCCCAATTTAAAAATGAAAGAACAGGACGTGCACTTCCGACACATTTTATTGTATTACTTCCGAAAAGGCAAGAACGCATCGCAAGCACAAAAGAAGTTATGTGCCGTATATGGAGATGAAGCCTTAAAAGAAAGGCAGTGTCGAAATTGGTTTGACAGATTTCGTTGCGGTGATTTTTCACTGAAAAATTCACAACGATCTGGCCGCCCAGTCGAAGTGGATGAAACCCATATCAAGGCCATTATCGATTCAAATCGTCACAGCACAACACGAGATATTGCAGAGAAGCTGCTCAATGTGTCGCATACATGCATTGAAAACAAATTAAAAACCCTTGGTTATGTCAAGAAACTTGATTTATGAATCCCTCACCAGTTAAAGGAAATTCATTTGACGCAACGGATTAGCATCTGTGATTCGCCGCTACTGAAACGCAATGAGAATGATCCATTTCTGAAGAACCTAGTTACTGGCGACGAAAAGTGGATAGTTTATAACAATGTTACTCGCAAGAGATCATGGGTGAAGCAAGATCAACCAGCCCAAACAGTATGAAAAGCAGAGATTCACCAAAAAAAGATTATGCTGTCAGTCTGGTGGGGGGATCACAAAGGAATTTTGTATTTTGAACTCGTGCCGCAGAACCAAACGATAAATTCAAATGTGTATGTTGAAGAACTCGAAAAACTGAAGGATGCAATTGAAGATAAGCGGCCGGCATTATCAAATCGGCGGAAGGGTGTTGTTTTCCATCATGACAACGCAAGGCCCCACACATCTTTGGTTACTCGGCAAAAATTATTGGAACTGGGTTGGGATGTTTTGTCACACCCACCATATAGCCCTGACCTTGCGCCTTCGGATTACCATTTGTTTCGTTCCATGCAAAACTCTTTAAATGGTAAATTTTTAACAACACGGATGATGTCGGATCACACCTAATTCAGTTTTTTAATAGCAAAGACCAGACATTTTACGAACGGGGAATTTTTTCTCTGCCAGAACGATGGAAAAAGGTCATCGACAAGAACGGCCAATATCTAATTGAATAAAGTTATATTTTTAAACAAAAATTCCGAATTTGCCTTCTTATTTGAAATCGGCAATGACTTAGTTGCCAACCTAATAGATAGTTATAAACATTTTAAGCACGATTTACATAAGTAAGTAAAGATTGAGGAATTTCGTGTGCGTTAAGAGCAAGCTCAGCATGTGGAAAGAGGCCTCAGGGCCAATCAGGGATTAATATTCGTACAGCATATTGTTAAATATACTCAGTTACTGAATAGTTTTGCTTTTAACTTTCACCACACGATACTTCCCTTGTTCTTGCTACTTTCGATAAATGGATTTGGGAAAGGGGAACTTAGGCCAAAATACCGTGCAAGAAGCTAATAGTGTTTGTGGCTAGCTGGATATCTAAGATGATTAAAGAATTTAGCCAAGTGGTAGTAGTATCATGAATATGTTATCGTTTGAAAATTCAAATCCATTCAATGTATTTTTTCTAAAATTTCGATGGAAAATATTAAGGGAAACGGAATGATTAAAGAAGGATTCGAAAAATAATAATACATAGTAAATAAACAAAACATGTTAGCAACAGGTTGATGGAACAGATTCACATTTATCGCAAATATCTACAAATAATAGAATTTTGCATGTTCAAATGTATAAGCGAATTGGATTCCATGACATATCTCCTAAGCGTTTGCCATCATAACCCGTGGAACAACTAAAAAACTTTAACGCCATTCGGACAGTGCAGTCCTATTTCCAAATAAGCTTCATTGGTACTAGACTCGTAACAGAAGACGCTATTGCCGTTTGAAACATGTTCACTACGTCTATATCCCTCGCCTTATACCACCAAAACACATCACGTCGGCATCAGTCAGTTGTGAGACACATGAGTGGGGCTAAACAAGAAAAAAGGTGAATTTGTCCGTTTGGAAGAAATCAAAGCATGAAATATTTTTAAACAACTTTAATTTTAGTTGCTTTATATATAATAGGTTTACCAAGTCCTCCATGGATTTTTATGGATTGAGTTTTAAGACACGACTGTTGACTTAATGGGTGAACTTCTGAACATACTGACCTGTGGGTGGCCATGTCAACACAAAAATATGCATTCTTTAAGAGGAAGGTTTTAAACTAATGTTTATATCAGAAAATGTCATAACTCAAATATATTTTGCAAATTGAATACACATAGATTCTGCTCACTAGTGATGTCGCACAATGTAGAAGAAATCAAGCTTAATGGTAATTATTAAGTAAAAACGTTTCTTTAAAGTGGTAAAAACTTAATTACTCCTCATAGCAAAGAAATTGATATTCAGAATAAAGATTCATTACTCATAATTGTTCAAAATTAATAAATTAATAACTAAAATAAAAAGGAAACAAACTTTAAATTCATTAAATATTTTCATAAAACGTATGATACAATTATATAATACAGATTTTTAAACTTTAAACTGCTTACCATAATGGATTATCTTCTGGGCATCCGATTGATCGGAAATAAAAATGCGCACCAACAGAAGAGAGCAAAAGTAGAAGGAAGAAATTTGATAAAATTGAAATTATGGAACAAACAAGAAGTAGCATTTCGAGAGTCAGAATTAAAGAGAGAACCAGTGCCGATATTCGAGGGTTCTTCCAGTGGATCAAATCAAAAACTTAAAAAATGATAAACAACGGTTTGAATTTGCTCAAAAATACTTACAAATCGAATCAGGGGGTTTCGTGTTAATTTTCTTGTCAGCAGCTGAAGCTAAAAGATATTTCGACGAGATTTAACAAAATTTAAATAATTACATGCAAAATCGGCCTCATTTGTGTGCTTGGTTGATCCTATGACATATTCAGCGCAAAACGTTGCATTTTGCATACGAGGATGTTTCTTCTCAGGAATAATAAATTCTAGTGAACTAGACCCATAATTTGAAGAATCACTTGGAATAGATATATTGGGTTCCGTATTGCTAATGGGAGAATCTAGGTCTGTGATCTTAGAATGGCCTATAAGTGTCTAAGTAAAGAGAAGCAGTTAACCGACCTTCACCGATAATTGCAGACATTTTCATGTGTTGCGCCAAAACGGTACACGATAGTGGCTGAAGGCCCATTTGGAATGTGCAGCAATAATTGGCTGCATATTAATGACCTTCAATTCATTTACTATTGATGATAATTATAAAAAAGTTTTAATAGTCTTTATGAATAAAATATTCCTAGTTTCGAAAGTATTTGTTTTCTTGTATGTATACTTCTTGTTGTGATTATAACCATTTTTTCAGGCGTATAATATATATGTGAAACTCAACAAAAAATTAATTAATAAAACGGATGATGACATTTGGATTTCAAAGCCAAGTAGATGACTTTAAAATTTGTGGCCATTTTTAGCATTTCGTTTGTTGCAAATATACTTTTGAACATGTAACAATAGACTATATCTATTTTGTCATAATATGTGTTTTACAGTAATTTAATGCAAACTCTATCTTAACCCTGTATTCGAAAAACATATTGAGTAGAAAACTAAAAGTAATATCATCCATCGTTTGTTTTTTTCACTTGATGTTATAAATTCTCACTTCTTTTAAGCAAGCTTCCTGTCACCGGTTAATTAATGAATAAGTCAAATAAATACTCTCATTGTATGAATCCTTGGAAGGTTATTTAAATTATCTTTCCCGTCAATTAATCTTTTGAGTCTGTTTAATAGTCATCAACTCTATATGATTGTAATTTCTCTTCCAAATTTTAATTTATATATTTGTTATAAAGTGTAAAAAACAATATTAAATGTTTGATTAAGAACCAATGCACACCGATTGTGTGTATAATGTTCATATATAAGGCCAGACGGAGTTTTTTTCATCGGGCGCAAAATTCACTAACTTGCCCTGATGTAATCAATTTGTGTGCCAGGAAATTGCCGATTCCAAAAATCTTTTCCCATTTGCAAGATCGTAAAGGCGAGTTCTAGAAAACGAATTAAATTTTGGCATTTGAACTCTCCTTACCTCCTCATCTTGTGAAAGCTCGAAAATGCTTCCCTCTGAGTCATTAAACGCTAGAATTTATTAAGATATAACATGAGTAATTTACAACTTAGCAACAGCCTGTTATTAAACGTGACGAGAGATATTCTTTTCAAATTATATCTGTCAATTGCACTGATGAAAGTCCATTGAGATAGTTCTTGATCTCCAGCGGTTAAGGGATAATATTCGACACTGAAATTGGTGTCGCCTCCTGCGACAACGATAAATCCCTGGAACAAAGCAACTCCTGGTCGATAGCGCTCCTTTAACATTGGCGGAAATTCAATCCATTTACTTTCACTTCCTTCACCATCAACCTCTATCAGCATTTCAATACTTCTGAGTGTCGGTAAAGTACTTCCAACCCTGTCACATCCGCCAACAACGACTATTCCCATTCCAGGAATATTTAATGCCGAACTTCCAAAGCGTAAATTCAACATATTTTCCGATTTAACTATTCTAAAATTGTAAATAAAATTAATTAAGGAAAATTAAACATACGTATTATTTAAAGTATCGAGTTTTTCGCAGTCTTGAAGACATTTTCCCTCATAATGTCCACCAAATAAGAAAATGAATTCATCTTTAACGGCGACTGAATAGTCATTTCGTGGTTGTGGAAATACAGGTGGCTCGAAAGTTTCACCAGATGAGAGATCGACAGTTATCAATGAATCTTTGGCGTTGTATGCACCAAAAATAAATACTTTATCTAAAATTTTGGTAAATAAGTATAAGCTCCATATGAATTTTACCTCCGCAAATGACTGATTCTCCGCTAAAAGGCACGCGAATACTAATTGATATTTCTGGTTGCAGCTGAGGAATAGATGATATCATCCAGCTTTTTGTTGACTTTTCCCAACCATATACGAATATCCTATTACTATTTCTAGAAGCAACAAAATGATAAAGTTAATCTTTTGCTTACTAACAAAATGTGAAAATAGATAAAACAAGTAATTATTAAATGGGTTTACGTTTCCTTACTTCGCAGTCGACTCATCGAAGGTGACGAGAACATGACAGGTGCAAAAAACTCCCAGTTCAAGTACTTAAGTCGAACTCAATCTTTATCAATCGAACTGATGCCATCGCCGTGGTGATTATTGCTTCATATGCTCTAATCTATTCATTCTCATGCATTGAAGTTGCAACGCTTTTAATAGATAAAATCGAGCTCGAAAAATTCAATCTTAAATAGTTAACCCCACCTCCTCGTGGCCTTGGTTCGAGGCAAGCAGCTAGAACTCAAAGGTAAAATACGGGAATAGAGATAATTCTAACGGCAGGACCCAATTAGTAGTTAAATTTATTATTGCAATTCAAATGAGAATGATTTCGACCAAAATGTGTTAATTTACGCTCTTACCCCTGATGTTGACCCTCTAGAACGCCATCGAAATTATTGCCATGTGTAGCATATTGAGTGCGAATCCAGGACCGAACAAGATAGTTCCTGAAAACAAGAATTTATAAATTGTATTTTCATTTTTCGAAGCCTGATGTTACCACTAATTGTTTTGACTGGGAAGCATCTCTTTGCTACCATCTTTTGCTTCATGGCTGATGAAGAAGCCAACAGATAATATCAGACATCCATTAATATATTTTTTTCAATTTAGTGTCAAGTTGCTTTTCTCCTATTCACTGGGTACATAATACTCCAGATCCGAGGGCTTTGGGAATAAGTTTCATGTTTGTTAAAAATAAACATCCAAGTTATTAAAGGGAGTCTGTGACGAACTCACTTATAATATGACCACAATTCCCCAAATTTGTACGATTTAGACATTCGTTATGAGATACCTTGAACAGCTTACCAATATCCTGCTATCGGTCCAAGGCTATTAGACTACAATGAAACCAACGTCCGCATCGACTCACATACAGAGGTATAAAAGTGATCTAAGCCATCACCAGGATTTAATTCTCCCCACTTTTAACTTTCCAAACAATCGGATTACCTGTGAATCTTAAAAGTGCCTTAGACAATTCTCTAGTCATAACTACTCTCTCAGCCACTTCAATCCAACTTTCAGCTCATATATTCAGCTTCCTTCAAGCAACACCTACTTTTCAGCTACCACCCCTCTCCCAAAATAGCTTCTCTGTATGCCGACCGCGCCCGCTTCAACTACAAAACATCGCTGAACAGTACCATTTCCGGCTTCGTCCTCCATACTGTACTTGAAGCTGCCTACTACCTGGCATTGACATATTCAACTTCTCTGAGAGTTGATCGCCTGTTCACTCACATTAGTTCCAATCTATATTTTATCACGAATGGCGCCTGCTTACTCTTTCTTACCACAAATCTCTGATCGGGCGCAATTATATTCCTTTTACTTTCTCTGGAACCAATACTTTGGATTCATACGATTGGCGTTGTGAAGTGGTGATAAAGGAATTAAGACTACGCAGGCCTTGCTGCACATGCATTTCTTAAATACCTAATTTATCGCTGCCCTAGCATGTGATTTTTCATAAAAGCAGTTACAGAGTGTATTCAAGTGAATCGTTATTTTCCTCTTTTCAGTGGCTGTACTTCACTTTTCTCATCACAGTGATTGATTCAATATTTTTTGAAAAAAAGAGAGAAATGCTTAAAATTTGACAAAGCGAAGGTATGAAATTATCAGACCTGATAAATTGAAATCAATAATTAGATCCGTATTAGGGGGGGGGGGAGGGCAAGAACTTACGTGGATGACCTTATCAAGCACTTGGAAATAAATTTTTAATATGAGGAGAGAAAAATACGAGAGAGAAATTACTAAAATATGTAATTTTAATCAACTTATATAGATCGAATATATAAAAGAGTTCAATTATAAGTCCTAAATTGCTCGATAGTGAATTTACATCCCGTTAGCAAATTTGTCAATTTGAAAAAGGATGCAATTTACATAATAAAAGTAAGTAAAGTGTGTTATGTGACTTCATGTCGATTCTAAACCAACTCTGCTAACTTTCCATCGCATAAACGCATTTTTATAAGAATTACTTGCCTACATTGCTGGATAGATCCAACCACAGTCTCGGAGTGCCACATTTGCATCAGAATCGTCCTAGTAACATCAGTCAGATTAATGGTGGAGATCACTGTTTTGAAATCTCGAACTCTTTCATTTAGGTCAGCCTCTTCAACACCAGAATTCAACCATTCCAAAGTTGCCTGAAGTTTCAAGTCTTCTGCTTGTAAAATTCTTTTAAAAATGAATTTCAAAGAATTTGATGTAGTTTTGGCCAAAAAATTTTTTTTCTGATAGAGTTCTGCAAAGTTTGTTGTTATAGTAGGCAAGCACAGATCAATAAGCTCTTCATTCTCCGTTGAATTAGCTGCGGACCAAATAGCTATAACATTCTCTAGAGATATTCTTTTGAGGTCCAAATGAGTAATATTAGCCTACCTTGTTTTAAGATATTCAATGCACCACGAAATTATTTTTTGAGAACCGAGACTATGCCCAATTAGAAACAGTCTTAGAACGTTTTCAGAAGTTATCAACAATCTCCCAGTATACGCATAGTTGATAATTGCCTCAACGATACTGAAAGTTATATAAAAAATGAATTACTCATGTGTAAACCTCTTTAATTCCAATATGACTGAGCCTTCACCAATTAGCCTATTTACAAGCAGTGGATATTTTGCCAACATAACTAGCCGATGCGCCCCTAATACAGCTCCCTCTTGAGTCTAAGGAGTCGAAAATGACTGGGGAATTTGATTTCTTACAACGATATGTAGATCCAATAAATGGCCTCGATTACGAATATGTGTGAAACTTTGACAAGATAAACATCCGATAATTTCGTCGGTAAATTCCACTTCATTCATTTTTAGATAGATCAACTGTAAAAGACTGCTTAATTAATAATATTTAAGTGTGCTAGTTTTGGACTGGAACAAGAATATAATGTTTACGTAATTATAACTGCATTGGTCCTTGATTGGCCTTGAGTTTATAAAAGCGCTTAAAGCAAATAAGTATCATTATAAAATGGGCTCTGATTTTCACTACCACACATAAAGACTACTACGTATATTCTATAATAAGCAATTTTCATATAGACCCTAAACAGGTAAAAAGGGAAGATCATTTAATCTTGTCTATCTTATTTCTGTAAAATTTTATTAAATTTGATTGGCGTTTTAGTGTTTCACGCAGCTCATAAAGTATGAAATACAGCTGGGATATTTCTTATCTGCTTCAATTTCTTAACAGCCTATTTAAGATGTTCTCGAAAAGAGAGCTATAAATTATTCTTCAAATTTGCGAATCTGGTAAGTGAAAAATAAAGACATTCACCAGATGACAGCGGTTAAGTTGAATAAGCAATTTGAGTAATAAATGCTAGAATGCTTGTAATCATCTTGTATACAAATAAAAACAAGTGGGTTATGCTTAATTCGATAAAATTGGAACCAAACAGTACAGTGATTATTTCACAATAGCATCTATTTTGTGCTCAACCCTCCACATAAGCGTCCGAAGGATATTTATTTATTCCCTTAGCTGACTTCGGACTTCACAGAGGGAGGAAACATCAAAGTGAGAAAAATTTGAGAGGGGAAAAGAGTAATTCACAGATGTAAAGGGACAGAGGGACACAGAGGCAGAGAAAAGGTAAGATGCGTATTGTTAAAGTGGTCGAATTTGACATGCAGTGGGGTCATGGTATTTTAAAGTCAAAAGTCAATTTCCGAGTAATAGACAATTTACCGAATAAATATACGTTGCCCAGGGTGCACAAAGTATAAGTAAGTCTATCGCGCACCCCTGCTCGAGAGATATAAATGATAGAAATCAATGATATAATAAAATATTTCATATTAAACGGACTGGACCCATAAACATGTAATAAAACAAGTCTCCCATGCCATTAAATCAGTTCAAAGGTGACCGGAAAGCCAATCTAACTTATCGTTAAAAGAGTTGGTTTGCTGTGTGGCTATGGATGCGCAGCGTAAAGCACAGATTTCTTATTGTTCTGAACTGCCAACAGTTAATTAAAATTGGTTTTCATTGCCAGAGAGGGTAACCACATTTTGAGATTCAGGAAGGTTTGTTGCGGCGGATGATATGAAGAACTGATTTTTTCAATTATCATTTCCCCAGTTCGCAGAATTTTCTGGAGATAGAATGAAATTGTTCGGTATGTTCTAAAGTTCGACTACACAGTTGAAGACCTAGAAAATTATAAATAAAATATACGCTTTAGTAAATAAATTAAATTTCGTTGAACGCCGTTAGGAAGACCATGTTGAAATGAATTTAGTGAGCATGAGATTAAAGCATAAATAATTAGTATGATATAATCAGTTGGTTTAAAACGAATGCTAGAGAAAGACTGAAAATGGTTATGAATTTGATGCTTAAGAAAGAATTCTCCGATAAAGCATTAAACAATAAATAAGAACAGGTAAATGAAACGATTTTCCGAAGGCGTTGTTGATGCAGTGACGGTAAAATTTTCACAATTCGTGATTCACTGACTGGAAAGTTGTTTCGTGAATGCTTAAGATATTTCGTAATACATACATGATGGTCATAATACACTATCGATTAACCAACTAGCATTCATTGCTATGAAATCTTTCATTTTAAAAACTCATTATGCACAATGTTGCGTCAAATTTATTTTAAGTTGGTTTCTATTTCCGGCATAATGCTGGAATAATGCATTATCAATGTTTAAGCGGATGATTTATTCCTTTCATTTATTAATACTAGCGTATATGAATTCTTATGTTTAATGGGAATACATATATCGCAAGCGTTTTCACCGGGTTTATATTTAATAACGATTTTCAAGCCAAATCCATAGCTGGAAGTGTACTTAGTAAAGAAAGTTGAAGTAATTAGCACCAAATTTAATGTATTCATTTGACTTAAATTTCATTCGAAACATTATTTCTGAGAAGTGGCTCCTCTTTTCAAACATACATTAAAGTCCTTTGTAATTTTTCGATGGTCTTAGAAAAAATGCCTCAAATTAGGTTTCACTATCATTGGTCCATCTTTTAGTAGCTTGAAGCTGATTCGGTAGTTAAGCTATGCTGATTTCTTATTGGTCGGCGTAGTCGCTTGCTTAGCCTAGCTTGTGGCTGTGTTTCACCACTCACATATCATTTTTAACTCCACCGGAGTTTAACTACGTAAGTTTTATCTAAACATATTTCAACGTAATATATATTGAAGTCTTTTGTGGATACGTTTGGTGGTAATTGTTATTGAACACAAGTTTTCGAATTTATTTATTTTTATTAATGTTTTCCTATAGGTAATGATCACTGGAATCTTAGTGTTAGCATTTGGTGCTTATTGTGCTCTTTCATTCATTCTTCTTCGATGGCCTACTTTAATACATAAGAAAAAAGCTTCAAAAATACAACCTACAGTGGTTTGCCACAGAGGAGGTTCTGGTGAATTCATTGAAAATACTGTCCATGCATTTACGAGGTGAGTTTTGTTCGTTTTTCGTACTAGTTCCGCTTTAGTTCGATCTGTCAATGTCGTTAATTCATGTCCAAAAACGTCTTAAAACAATGAGTAGTTTGTCACAGCTCTCTTAAAATCGGTCTTTAAACATGTTTTTTGTACTTTTACATATTCAGTGCGATAGAAATGGGTGCTGACATGCTTGAAATTGACTGCCAGCTTACCAGAGACGAGAAAGTCGTTATTAGCCACGACAATGATCTCACACGCGGTACAGGCGTTGATAAACATATCAGTGATTTGAATTTCGATGAACTACCCCAATATAAGGATACTCTCGATGTAACCTTCGGATTCGGTATGTTCAACACTCTTTAGCCAGAAATCACTTTACTTTATTTGTATTTTTCTTTGATTAAGCTCTTAATATGATATACGTAATGCTAGTGCATCTTATCCTTCTGTATTTTGGGTTTAGTCTAATCTCTTCTTTCAAAATTATTATTTGTCAATATCATTTTGGTACATCTTTGTTTATTTCAAATTTGACGTTTATATTTTCACTACTTTGTAAGAGTTTTGTTAGCCTATCACCTATCACTTCTATGTTTTCTTTCTTTCGAATGCTTAGGTTTGTCGAATTACTTGGACATATTAAAAGTATAAATGTTTTAAGTTACCTAACTTTGTATCACAGAATGGTACAATATTCTACTCAGTAGTAGTTAATCAATTTTTCATGCGAAATCACCAAATTAGAAATCACCGATCCGAACGTGCTTAAATAAAAAACCCATTCAGAATTTATATTACTTTATTATTCTCACATTTTTCCATTGCTGCCTTTTTTGGGTCTCTTTTATCTATGCATGAAGCACATGCACTTCACATCTTCCTTTTTCATAACGCCAGTTCTGAGGATAAAGCACGTGATGAACGCACCTGGGGGGTTGAATAGAATTTTGTAAAAGCATATGACTCTAGCAGTCTTATTTTATTTGCATTCAAAGTGTATTTTCTCATGTTTCGAATTTTAATCTAGGTTCCTTGTGTTCTTACATGAGTTCATATATATAAAATATTCAGAGCTTGCGTATGAATTGATTTGTTTGAGAATTTAGTTATGGCACCTCAATTCATTTACTTCATTTGATCTTTTTGTTAAATCTATCGTCCCAAGGTTTTACAATCATTGGTTTATTACTGAAGATACCCTAAAATCAGTAGAAATCAATTTTGCTTTCAGTCATACTTGTGACTTGGACGCGTGTATCTTTCAATACTTTTACATACTTTTCTCTTCTACCTTCTTTTCTTTACACACTTGTAAAATAACATAGTTTCATTTTGTGTTAATTTTGAACCTGAATCTATTTTTCATTTAAGGCAGAGTATGCAAAGCTAAGGAAGGTGTTTCCCGAAGCATTCCTCTTCTACGCACAGTTTTTGAACGTTTTCCTCAAGTTCCCATCAATATTGATGTCAAGACAGACAACGATGTATTAATCAAAAACACTTCTGACTTGATTGAAGAATTCGGTCGTCGAGATATCACTGTTTGGGGCAGTTTTTCGGATGAAATTAACCGAAAATGCCGACTGGTCAACCCCAGGATCGCAACATTTGTACCAATTAAACGAACCGTCATTATTGTCGCTGCGTACTATGTGGGTCTCTTACCATTCCTTCCACTTCCTGATGGATTCTTCGAGATTCCCTTGGTCCCCTTGTTTGGGTTTGCTCAATCATTCTTACTTAATCTTCACTAGTCGAATGCAAAATGTCGTCGATTATATTAAATCTTGGCTCTGTATGATCCCAGCTTTCCTTAAATTCGGCTTTTCAGACGATGATATTTATAAGCTCATTATCAAATTTGTGGATCAGTAAGTTGAATTTAACTTAACAATGCTTACAATTTAGTTGTTTTATGTCCAGAAAATTAATCGACCATTTGCGAGCCCGGGGAATTAAGGTAAGTTTTTGAATCGATTCTTATGTATTTTATCGATATAATTTCCCCTAGGTTTTCTATTGGGTTTGTAATGAAGAGGAGGATTTTGATAAGGCGTTTTCTATGGGCCGCGTTGCTGTTGTAACGGACTATCCAAGTGAACTTTTGAAATATCTCCAAAATCACCCAGAAATTGAACGCGCTTCTATGAGCTCTTGATCTTTCTTGCTTTTCTATACCACTTTTTGTTGGCATGCCATGAATGTAAGACTTATTTTAGTTTCATTTTCTTTATTTTGAAAGTGGGTCTAACAGTTTATGTGGTAATGAAGAGCTTCATAATGTTGACATCTTTATTGACGGTTGAGCGGATGCATTTTCGTAATATGTATTCTAAACCACAAGCGATTGTATAGCACCATGAAGCATTGTGTCCAAATTGAGGACTCCTCAACAGTGAGGATCCATGATGCAATCGGTGTTCGTATACTCTTTTTAAGGTCGGTTTGCGAGTGCGTGTTGGCTGTGAAATTCGCTTGTCGCAATTATTACCAACCCCCCCCCCCCCTGGCTCTTGCGGAGCGAAGTTGGGTCAACGTTCCGATGTTGATGATGATGTGTTGATCTGATACGACATTGATCGACAAAAACCAAAATCTAGTTACGAGATTTGCATCCGCCAATGCCATATTCAATGATTTATAACAAATGGCGGGCATTTTGATAGTTTCATTAGCCCTTTAGGTGACTTCAGGCCTCACAGAAAAGAAGAAATATCAATGCGGAACAAAATTTCGAGAAGGGGGGGGGGACAGAAGGATGTTTTAAAGATGCAAAAGAGAGACACAAAGGTAGAAAAAGGTAGGAAGAGTACTGTGGAAGTAGTCGAATATGACATACAGTGGGGTGATGGTAGTTAGAAGTCAGAAGTCAACTGCCGGTTAATGGACTTTTTGCCGTGTGAGTACACGTTGCCCAGGGTGCACCACGTGGAGGTAAGTCTATCGCACATCCCGCATATCCAATGATATGCTAAGAGGACTGCACAATACAGTTTTAAAGTTGGTGATCAACGAACGAAAGGGTTAAATGTAAGTTCGCGAGTGTCAAGAGCTAATTTTTTCCTAATAAGCTTGAGAATTATGCAAAGATAGCAAAGACTGGCATTGATGTAGATTTTCTTAGACATAATTTACGCTTGTAAGGAGGTAGGGCGCTGATTGGTCCTAAGCTGTTCTCAATGAAATGGTCTGCTTTGCCAAAATCATAGGTCCTAGACTGGTAAATTTTTCCAAATGACGTCAACAGTGTCAAGTTGCTGCTTATAAGGGTAAGGTGTCGGCAATCCTACCACGGTAAATCAATTGCCATACTGAAAGCAACTTAAATTTGAAAGCTGAAAAGGGGTCACTATGTCTTACTAGCAGGTGAGAAGCAACTACCTGGTCTGCAGACGTTCTGATTGCCAGATGGGGATCACAAAAATTGAGTCTGGGTAAGAAATTAAACGTTTTGACTAGTTGTATTAAGGGCTTATTCGGACTTACCGCGCTTGTGTTTCAATTTTTATTTATCAATAGCCCTTTGGTGTATTTCGGGATGCGCACAGGGGAGGGACAGGCAAAGTCATAAAAAGTGAATAGAAGAGTGATTAACAGGTGTAAAATGGATAGACAAATGTAAAGAAGAAGGTAAAATGAGTACTGTGGAAGTGGTCGAATATGATTGTGGTGGTTGGAAGTCGGAAGCCAACTGCCGGTATATTGACCTTTTTTATCATATGAGCATAGGGCGCCCAGAGTGCACCAGGTAAAAGTAGGCCTCACAGGCCAATTTTATTTTAGGAATTTTTTAAATTGAGAAATAAAGGAGCAGTGTATAAAAACGTGAATTGTTGCCAAAAGTTGTGGGATGAACTTGTGATAAACAAATGCTTAAAATGCAAATCATTTGCTTACAGACGATATATATTCATGAAAAAATATGCTGGCTTTGAAAGGTCTAAAAGGGAGCATTTATAGTGATCAACCAACTAGGAAAAAAGGAGTAACGATTTAGTTATACACGTTTTATCCATCGATTAGAAAATTGAATAAAAAAAGTGTTATATTTTCCAAACAAATGCAGTGAATATGCTAAGATAGTGCTCTTAATCACTTACTTTGTAATTAAATCTAAAAATATTACAATAAAGATTCACTAAAATAACTCTGAATATCTTGATAAACTGATTACACTTCAAATTGTATAAATAGAAAAATTGAACGCAATAGATTCACAAATGTCTGCTAGTTACTTCCTAAAATACTTTTGTAAAAGTTAAATTAAATATATAGATTG